ATGAATAACATGATAGTACTTTGAAATATTTTATCTTTTGGTATTTTCTTTCCTCCTTGGGGCTTATACACATTCAGGCTGATATATTCTTTTATAAATATCTGGCTTTTGAGTTTCAAAATTGGACTCTTTGGGAGAACAGAAAGATTTCTGGCATAGATAAATGATAATGAAAATGTGTAAGGCTTCTTCATCATTTGAATAAGAGATGAAACTGCTCATCTGAGGGCAGTGGAAGAAAGGCAAGCAAAGGGAGGAGGGGCAGACAGCAGTGAGTAGTGAGCAAAGGACCCTGGGCCTCTCCTCCATGGTTAGAGGCTGGGAACTAGGGTTAGAGAGCAGCGAGGGCCAGAGCCCCTGCTCAGGGATAGCTGGGAAGGCGATGGGCCCTGGGAAGAAGGGTGCCAGCTAGTTGGCATTCACACATCCCAGCAGGATAGACTCCCACCTATTCCAAAGGGCCATAGAAGCAGCAGAGAACGTCCCAGATAAATCAGCAAGTGCATGGCACCAGACTTCCCTCCACCTCCATGGGTCCTGGGGAAAGCAGATGAGACCATGGGGAGATAGAAGAGGTGCCCAGATGTGGCTTGAGATCAAGATTTAGCCCTCCCAGATGAATGAAGCTCAAAATAAACACTAAGCTGTCGACCTAGACAGAAAGCTACTTGTGACACCCAACCCAGGGCCTGTTCCTATGTCCTATGTGGCCTTCCTTTGGCCAGCCAATGTCCTTCCTGATGTATGCACTCTTTATTCATGTGCCATACACCAGAAGGGACCTGGATCCTGACTAGCCCAGCTTTGCATTCAGGTAAGTGAGTTAGAAAGGATTATGAAGATCAGAATCAAGAACACAGAAGGCACAGGTGTTTATGGTCTGTGTTACCTGGGAAGGGAGGCTGGCCACAGGTCTGGAATGGGGACAGGGCTCTGCATTCCTAGAGTCAACATTGTTGATGTTTCCTCTGCCCACAACCCCTCCTCAGTGGACACCAATCTCCCCTGTGGTGGTCACATTCACACCCAGAGAGAATTCCCAACAGAGAGGTGCTACCTTGACTCACCTGCCTACTCCTTTCCCTCGTTTACCACCCACAGCCCCACTGTTTCATCCCAGGCAGAGATGTGCATGTGATCATGAATTGTGGGATGCGGGAACTGGGAAGGACCAAGTACCCATCTGTGAAGGCTGTAAGGCTGCAGGTAGCTACACTGGACCATGCAATCCAAGAGTTGGGGATTAGAAAAAGAGGAGGTTTAAGGAAAGGAGGGGGAAATGCTGCAAGAGTGAGGTTGCAAGAGTGTTTCTGTGGAAAGTTTGAGAATACAAGTCTTCAAAATTGTGCAGGACACCAAAGAACTAAGAAGAAGGCGCAGAAAATTCAAGAAAAATTACAGATGAGTGGATGTTAACTTTAATTTTCTGACCGGTTTTTAAGAGATGCCAGTTCAAGGTTGAACCTTTTCTTACTCTTGGCACTTTGGATTGGGCTTCTTTAAAAACCACTCCACAGAGAGGGGAAGTCTAAGGGATATGCTGGTTCCCAGGGTGCCTTGGTGCAATGTTCCTGATGAAGACAGGGACATCTGGTCCTTTTCTGCTCTCTTGAGTTCCCTGTCCTTCTCTTTCACTGGCTGGGGCTTTAGGAGTCTCAACCAGGAAGGGAGAGAGAGCTAGACACAGCCTGTGAAGTTGAGAGGTGATGACCCAGAAAAAGCATTCTCAAAGGAGCCAGGCAATTCTCTGTGTGAGGAGGTCACCCAGGAAGACTGACTGTCTTTCCCAACAAAGTGCTGGTTGCTTTTTTTTTCCTTTCCTTTTCTGGCAGTACTGCGAAATGAACCCACAGCCTTGTGTACATTAGGGAAGGGCTCTGCCACTGAGCTACAGCCCCAGCCCCTTTTAGTTACTTTTTTTTTTTTTTTTTTTTTTTTTTTTTTTTTTTTTTTGTTTTCTTGAGACAGGTTTTTGCTAAATTGTCTGGGTTGACCCTGACCTTGCAATCTTCCTGCCTCAGGCTCCCTAGTAACTGGGATTACAGGTGTGTGCCACCGAATCTGAAAAAGCGTTGCTTCCTCTTCTGAAGGAAATGCTCATGGGAAGGCTCAGAGAGGAGCTGGAGGCTAAGGGCACAGAGCTGGCAGCCAAGGAACCACGCCATATCCAGGCTGAGTCTCTTAGACCAAAACACAGAGAACCTTGTATGCTATACTCATCCCCGCTCAGCAACTCTCGGGACCAAACCTCGGTCAGTGACTTGGAGATGGTCCTCCAAGCCTGGTCTGTGGAGGGTAGGGCTGAGGCCAGGAGAACCGATCAGCTTAACAGGTGGTGGACTTGCTACTGCGGAGAGAGTAACACATCCTGGTTCAGATCATCATCCATGGGGAAAGAGTTAGGGTAGCAGTCCAGGGCCTGGGTCTGGTCCTGGCCTTGACTGCTATGTGATTTGGGACAAATGCCTGGCCTTGTCTGGGCATTGTTTTCTGCATCTTAGGATGATGGTCATAAGGCACTGTTCTGCTGACAGGCTGATACAAGAAGTAGAGGAAGTCCTGGCCACATGTCAGGCATGGGGACTGCTCTTGCCTCCTCCGGTTCCAGTTCTTTCCTATGGGAGGGCCTCTGTAGCACCCCTCTGTAACCAGGACATGGATGTAGGCACAGTTACTGGTCTCTGATGCCCACAAGCCCAAACTGGAAACAAGCTTCCCAGCTCCAGGCCCTGAATCCACACTCTCCTCTCCTCAGCATCCAATAGTGAGGTAAGAGGACTGCTACTTGCTAGGAGGACATGGAGAGAAGGGTACCAGAAAAAGGGAGGAGCAGCCTGTCCTCGTTCCCTCTTCCTCTCTAGGACCCTTTGGCACTCATGGAAACAAGACTCATTCAGAGCAAGGTAAGGTCAGAGCCAGTGGTGCTGAGGAAAGCACAAGATGGAGTGGATTCTTGGCAAAGACCTTCTGTGCCACTTTAATCTTAATTGTCAACTTGGCTGAATTAAGAGACTCCTGAATAGGCGACTGGATCCTGGGTGTGGACTAATGTGCTATTAGGAGGAAGGGCACAGCTCCCAGGAGGAGGTGGATCACTGGGGCTGTGCTTTTGGAGGGTGTATCTCCCATGGTGGTCTCCCCCTGTGTCCTGCTTCCTGGCTTTGCTCTACCATCCCTTCCAACATGATGTTTCTGCCTAGAGCCAGACAACATGGACAGGAAATTCTGCAACCATGAGCCAAACAAACCCTTTCCTCCTTTAAGTTGTAGATGTCAAGTGTGTTGTGCCAGCACAAGCAAGCTAACTAATCTACTTCCCGGAGTCCTGTGCACGTGCACTCCTGCCTCAAGACAAAGGACACTTTCTCCTGTGCATGTGTTCACTGCAAACTCCAGTAAGTGGCTGTATCCTGGTGTAGTACAAGGACTGGCTGTCCCAGGCCTGGCAGTGTAGCACCCTGAACCCTGCTTCAGAGCTAAGTCTGAGCTGTGCAGGGATGGAGAAACTGTCCCACGCAAGGGAGTGAGCCTCCCTGTTGCTGAAGGGGTGAGAGCAGAGGCTGGACAGCTTTTGGCTGACATTTGTACCTTGGATCAGCACATCTCTGCATTTCTGACACATGCCTCTTCCTTCCTAATCTCAGTCTGTTATATCCAAACGAAAGATAATGTAATTCTACAAGTAATTAAATCTATAAGCTGGACGAGACCAGTACGAGAGTCTTCAAGGAATTCTATCACTCTTGCAGAGCTCACTATGAATATTTTAATAAACTGATAAAATAATACTCTGATCCACAGTACTTTGTTCGTGCTGGGCTATTTCCATAGAATGGCTCAGTTCACTTTCTTCACCTGGCAAATTTCTATTCAGACATTTGAACACCAGCACCATGAACCTTCCTTTCTTCAGTGTCCCCAGAATGGTTAGATGTTGGTTCTGTCAGAGTAGCAGTTCATGTAGACTGTCTTATGACATCTCTTCCAGCATATATTAACAGGCTGGAAAGTAACTGCCCAGGAGTCTATCTCAGCAAGATGTGTATCTCCCCTACTGGTTCTGCTTCCTGCCAATCATGATCTTCTCCACACGGTCCTCAGAACGCAGCTTCCTCTTCTTTTTTTGCCTTCACAGGCCCTTCAGTGGTACCCTAGGCTGAGGGGTTCCCGGGTCCCTAGGGAGACACTGTCCTCCAGTTAGACTAGACATCCTCACACTGCGGCTCAGAATTCTGCCTCCTACAAGGCCTTCCTGGATCTAAGGCCTCAGACAGGCTATCAAGCGGGGTCCTGATGCAGCACCAGACCCAGGCCCCTAATTTCCTGCCCCTTTCTCCACCCTTATTCTAGTTTCCCAGCCTGGGGAGTGAGTTAAATGCAGCCCTTCCTCCAGGCGCTGCTTTTTTCCCAAGTGGTAAGTTCCCCAAAGAGGAAGCTCAAGTTTTCCCAATCTGATACATAGGACACAGGCAGAGAAGCCCGACACCCATCCCAGCTCCAGCTTGGTCCCTCTGTGATTTTCCTACCCTGGTAATCAGTCTCCCCATCTCTGCTAGGGGGTAATGAGGTGATTTCCAAAGGCCTTCTGTTTTCTGGGTTACCCCACTTAAAAAGGCAGGGAGAAGGGCTCTTCCATCAGTCAACAGTCGTGGTAACTTGTCTAACAAGAAGGCTACGAATTTATTCAAAGAGTGCAATTCTGAAGGGTTCCAGGTCAAGGGTCACCACTGTCATTCCACAGCTGCACGCCCCAGGATGCTGCTTTGAGCTCTCCCAAGAAGAAAGATATTGTACAATTTCATTGTGCAGCTGACCAGGATCAGGGATCATTTCTAAAGCCTGGACAGTGTCCCATCTGTCCTCACTTAAAAGCCTTCCAGGAATCCTTCCTGTCCACACACTCCTCCTCCAGCAAGTCATCCTGAGTGACTCCCACTCTGGTCTCTCTCTAAGTACCTTCTCTGCAGTTTTTCATGGGGCTTTTGGCCATTTATCAATCTGACTTCCCCTCCAGGCTCTGGCTGCTCTTGTCACTCTCAGAGCCTGGCATGTGACCAGGCACACAGTAAACTCAGCAGATAGGTTTGACTTGGCTCATATTTTGACCCCCTAGCCCAAAGTGCAGATTTATGCTCACCCCAAAGTGGACCATAATTTATACTCAAGTACACTCGGGTATTAGGCTGAGTCCAGCCAAAGGAGTATCCAGGTTTGCTTGTGTCACCTAATAATAGCAAAAATATCTTATACATATTTGGGGTGCTTTCTATTTTCACAGATCTCTTTTTCTCTTGCTCCCTCCCTTGCAAGCCTTATAACACTCCTGTGACGATGACATCTGTATTTTACAGACAATGGCATGCTGACTACCTAATGACAAGGCTCTGTAGAAGGTAAGCAGAGATTGGAGCCAGGACTTGCCTGCATGACTTCTACTTCAGTGCTTTGGCCTTTAAATAGGGTTTCTCACCTGAAGGAGTCCCACAAAGGCCTATGTCCCTAAGGGGGAGAGAAAAGATGATGGTGGTTGGTGCAAGGGACTTGGAAAGCCAGCGTATGGCATCAAGCTAGTGTTTCCGACCAGATTGTCATAAGCCACAGTGAGATGGTGGGCATGCAGGGCACAGTGCAGGAAGGCAGGAAGTGGAGACCCAAGCACCAAGAAGCCCTATAGGTATAGCAGACAAGTGCAGGCAGAGCCCCTGCAAGCACTCTGGGAGGAGGGGAGGGAGCAGCCTTCCCTCCAGGGCAATCAGAGGTGAGGGGGACCCATGGGCCTGAACCCTCCACGAGAGCGGATCTCTGAATCTCTGGAACAAGAGGAAACACCTTGTCAACAGCAGAGTCCACCTCTCCATCTGTCCCATTGCCAAGACGTTTCTATGGTCTGTGGCATTAGCAAAATAGTAAGTTTACCAGAGGAGTGGCTTCCGTGAAATCCATCAGAAGATCGCCAGGCTCCAAGGTGAAGGTACCTCCTCGGTCAGAGGGACTCTATGAACGCAGACAGAAATATACCTGGTTGGTGATGCCTCTGGGTTGACAACAGAATTCAACAGAAACTACTACTCGCAAACACTGATCTCATTAGTTTTCCGGTCCTTTTATATTTCCCATGCTCTGCAGTGTACAAAATGTTGAAACTGAACTTCATTTTAAAAAAGTCTTCTTAGGTAGAAGTAGGGCTTGGGGTGGGCAAACTGTCCTCCTGAATGCTGCAGTCAGCTTTTCTTAAGCGTGTTGAGTGTTCTCTGAATATAGGAAGACAGAACAAAGACTTTGTGTCCTCTGGGAGGACCAGCTGGCCTCCAGGAGCTAAACTGATCTGCACAATAGTGGCGAAGATGCTCGTGGTGGGTGGCTGGCACCTCTGTGTATTATTTGCTTCTGGAAAACATTTTTTCCTCCTGCTCCAGGGTCTTAGCTTCATGCGTGGCCTCCAGGCCCTCTGAGGGAGGGAAGAAACTCCAGTTCTGTCATCTTGACAGAAGCAGGACTGAAGGAGAGAAATGGCCAGGAGAGGGAGCCCTGTGGCCTTGGGAGGGTGCTGTCTGCTCCTCCCCCACAACCACTCCCTTCTGTTTGTCAGTTTTCGTCAGCAGTGGGACAAATGACAGGACCCTCTGTCCACACTGGAGGCAAAACTGTACGAGGACACTCTGCAGCGGAAGAGGAGCCAACTGAAGATGCCAGGAGGTGATCTTTAGAAAAGCAGAGTCATTCTGGGCCAGTCACCAGCTGAGGGGTCCAACCCTGTCCTGTGTCTCTTTCTGAGACCCTGGGAAAGACTGGCCTAGATCATGTAGGACACGAACCCAGACAGTTGCTACTTAAACGATGCCAGGAATTGTGGCCCCAGAAGCTACAGGGAGAGGCGTCTGGTATCCAGTTTGCATGAGCACTGGAACCTTCCCTGGATGTAATGCTAGGTCCAGAGCTGGCAAAGCAGCAGATCTTCTCGTTTTTAGGAGGAAGAAACAGGCTTGGAGAAACAAGGGCTTTGGAAGTACACTTCTGAGTAGCCACAAGCCATGTGGATGAAGAGGTTGGATCAAACTGGCAGTCTCATCTTTACTCCGGGGTCCCCATCCCACACACACCTTTCCTCCTATGGTCTCACGGACCGGAGCAACTTTTGAAAACTTTTTTATTAGTGTATATTTGCAAGGCATAATACAAAAATCCATCGTGTGCATTGGTGCATATCAATGTGGTTAGCATTGGGCCAATCGCTGAAGAAATACCATAGCTAGAGGCCACTCATAGAAAAGCAAAAAAAAAAAAAAAAAAAAAAAAATCTTAT